CGTGGAACTTCTTCTCCCACCGAAAAAGCTTGGGGATCCACCTGGATTGCATTGGATGTGTTGGGGATCGACTATCCACGGCGGTTGGGGATCCACTTTCAGACGTGTTGGTGAACGACTGTTGGGCCCGAGCACCAAGCTGTTAAAGGCTCTGAAATCACCGACGCGGTGTCACTATGTTCGCTGTGTGCATGGGGGTCTGGACCACACAAAGGCTATGGGTTACCATTTATCATCCACTGGATGTATAGAGGGAACCCTACTGTTCCATCAGAGCTAGGGGGATGTGCTTTTCATCTGGGGAGTGAGATGGAGCGAGCAACAGGAGAGTTCTTTCGATGTGCCCAGTAGATGCGGACCGGATTTGTGTAGAAATCTGAGGCCTCTCGACAAATACTATAGATTCATCATGATTCATCAAAGATCTATTTTCAGACACTCTTGAGGTATGATATGCAGTCATATGCATATCATGCATATCATGCATATCCCCCACAAACATACCAAAGGGTCACAAACAAGGGGCTCCTGGGCTGGTATTTTCTAGCTGCCAAACGGCGTTGCCCATCGGGGTCGTTGCCTATTTGCTTCGCGCCTGCGCGACGCCCAGAGCATGAAAGAAGCGCAGACACGGAGCATTGTCATTGAGGCGAGGATCGCACCCACCGGGGATCGCGGCAAGGGGGGCGAAGCTAGGCAAACTCCTTTGCAAGGTACCTTCAGGCTCAAAGGATTGGCTGTATAAGGCGATTTTTCACTTCACATCCTCGGGATTTCTGGGGCAATCTCAGTTCTTGGTCGCAATCCAGATCATCATTTAGCCACCATGTAACAGGATTTGCATGATCTACGTTTTTCTTGGCATTTTTTGGGATGTTCGATTCAGAGGTTCCATCATGGGAGGCCCTTTCAACACCAACCACCCTGGAATCCTGGAAGTACTTTCATTGCCTCCAGAACAGGAATGGAAGCTTTGGTTGTGAGCCGGTCAGATTCTATTCGTGTGCTCCACCCCGCTTCCAAACAACTGCATAGTTTGCTTTTGCTTGCACGTGGGCTAGGAGACAGCCAGTGCATGCCCTGGGTCCTTCTGCCAGCCCAAGAGACATGACTCGCCCGGTTCGGTTCAAAAACGCAGCGGCTGCTGGAGGATGTGTCACCCGAAGTCGTGGCAAAAGCTTTGCGCTTCATGTACACAGGCACGGGGGGGGCAGCTGGTGAGTGATGGATGATCGGGTGCTGGCCGTCTCCTACCGCCTCAAACCGGGGCCACGTTGGTTCCAATGAATCACAAAGGACCTGTGCGAACTTTTCTGGAGTGCAGAATCGTTCCACCTTTTCCCCAATAAGCAATGCCTGCCATGTAAGCGGGGAGAGCAAATGCATATACCCTAGGGCTCCTGGCCATCCTCAGAAGGTGGTCGGGGTGGGTGCCAGGGGGGTCTAACCACCGGTCACCTGAGGATGTGGGCCGTTTGGAGCCCAAACGGGTATATAACTGTATGCAGCACATGGTTCGCCCCAAAAGTGGGTTTTCCACTTCCATCTTAGCGAGTCGTGTAAATCCATCGCGAAGCCGAACCAGAGACTCCGGCCGCACATCAGGCGAAGTGGCCGACGACGTGGACATCGAGTCCTTGGGCTTTGCGCACAAGTACGACATCACCGGCGCCGGCGGCGGCAAGTCGTTGGTTCTCCGCTTCGGTGTTGGTTCGGAGAGGCCACCCACCGACCCACGCGAAACGACCAGGGGGGCCTTCCAGGGAATGAGACCGAACACCGGTAGAGACCAAACAGGTGGAGGTCGGAGTCGGAGTCCGTCTCAGGTCCTGGGAGTCGGGGGGGAGAGGGGAGAGGTACGGTTTTGGGTTTCGCGATGCATCGAAGCCATGTTCTGTACTTTGGGGGTGAGTAGTTTGGTTTTGCATCAAACCAACAGATGAGAGCTTCGTTCGCAGATTTGCCGACTCGAAATTGAAACATATGAACATAGAAACTGGCCACGAAACCGAACCATATTGGGCCATACCTTGCAAGGTCCCAAAAGAGCAATCACAGAAACACCTGACCTCGCGGGCTTTTGGCTCTTCTTCGGCCCTCAAAGCACGGGCGGGTTTGGGACACGGTTTCCAAGCGATTCCGCTCGAGGAGATCTTGTCCGTGACGATCGGTCGTTTCTTCCAGTGTTCGGGACGTCGCTGGGTGGGGGTGCCGTGAACGACGCCCGAGGTATGGTCCAGACTGGTCCGAAACACGGTCCGACAGCGGCGCAATGGCCGGCGCTCCGAAAGTGTAGACGTTCCACCGTAGAGCTGGGGGGAAGAGCTGCGAGGGCACCGAAGAAACTGGGACGTCCATAGGTTGGAAGGTTGGGCAGAGAAGATGGTGCGGAGAACTGGTTCACTCCTGGCACGTGGAAGGTGGATGGAAAGGGCATCTGAAAGAGACCTTCCCAAACTCACAAGGCAAAGGACACGCCCTGCTTCTGGGATGATGATGTTCAAGCTATAGCTCCCATTCTTTTACTTGGAGCTGCTTGCTGTGCCTCTGGAGGCATGATGCAGCCTGTGAGCAGCAAAATCTTGAAGCGCCTTGGTGTCAGTGAGTCTCAAGATGGTATTTTTTTAGGGGTGGACATGCAGGTGCCCCAGATTTCAGCAACCATTGGTTTGGAGGCTATCCGTTTCATGCTTTTCTACTACATGAGGGCATCCCCCCTTCAAGAATGTTCACTTCTGGTTCCAACCTGACCATGTGGGTATTTGGTCCACTCCTACACATAGGATCTTGAAGGCCAAGAACTTGGGTGTGTTTGCCTGAATTGTCCGGTGGGTTATGAAGGGTCCGGCACTTCGCTGCTGAAACCGCGGCCCGTTTCACGACTTCCTTGCCCGTTCCGACAGACATCCTGGTGTCACGAACCACCTGAGAATCAATCTTCCTTTCCTTCCCTTTCCCATTCCTTTCCTTTCCTCTTCCTTTCCTTTCCTCTTCCTTTCCTTTCCTCTTCCTTTCCTTTCCTCTTCCTTTCCTTTCCTCTTCCTTCCCTTTCCTCTT